GGGTGGTATCCTGATTATGTGGGATAACCGTTGGGTCTCTTTGTTGGATTCTCAGGTTGGTCTTTTCTCGGCTTCCTGCGTTCTCTCGTTGGTGGATGATGGTTTTCATTGGGTTTTTTCTGGCGTCTGGTCCTTCAGAGGATTGTGTTTTTCATTTGCTCTGGGAGGAGTTGGGGGAGATTCGTAGGAGATGGTCGCTGCCTTGGTGTATTGGTGGGGATTTCAATATTGTGCGCTGTCCTTTTGAGAGGTCGTTGGGGGCAGGTGGACGGTCGACATAGTGTCCTTCTCAGAGTTCATTAATGCTTATGGTATGTTTGATTTGCCTTTGGTGGGTGGACCGTACACTCCGTCCAGTGGTCGTACTCCTCCTACTCTCTCTCGACTTGACAGATTCCTTTTGTCAAGTGATTGGGAGGAGAAGTTTTATGATGTTGTCCAGGTCATTTTGGCTCGCCCTTTGTCTGACCATGTTCCGTTGATGTTGGATTGTGGTGGGATGCGTAGTAGAAGGTCCCCTTTCGGATTTGAGAATATGTGGCTTCGGGCTGAGTTCTGGAGCGAGTCCGATCCCGGTGGGTGGGGTATGGAGTGGTTGGTACTCCTAGTCATTCTCTCGTAGGAAAGCTGCGTCTTTTGAAGAATGATCTTAAAGTTTGGAACAAAGAGGTTTTCAGAAATCTAACTTGGAGGAAGAATCGGGTTCTTTCCGAGATTACTGATATCGATAGTATGGAGGGTCAGGGCCTTTTGCCGGTTCCCTTAAAGCTTAGGAGGGTGGAATGTCAGGCAGAGTTTGCTGAGATTGCTGTTATGGAGGAGATTTCGTGGAGGCAGAAGTTTAGAGCTTTGTGGCTCAAGGAAGGCGATAATAATACAAAATTTTTTCATAGACTTGCTAATGCTCATAGAAGGGGCAATCACATTGGGAGGATTCGGGTGGATGGGGAGATGTTTTGTAAGGAGAAGGAGATTTGCAAAGGCTTTACTGATTACTTTTCGAGGTTGTTCACTGAACCAGCTGGTTGGTGGCCTTTGCTTGCAGGGCTTCACTTTGACTCTATTTCGAGTGAAGAGTGCTCTGTTCTGGAAGAGCCATTTTCGGAGGAGGAAGTTTTGTCTGCTTTGAAGAGTTGTAATGGGGATAAAGTCCTAGGTCCAGATGGATTTTCTATGAGATTCCTTTTGGAGTGTTGGAGGTGGTCCGTAAGGAGGTGATGGGCTCTTTTCACGCCTTCTATGATCAGGGCTCTTTTGAGAAGAGTTTAAATGCTACTTTTATTGCTCTTATACCGAAGAAAGGAGGGGCGATGGGTGTTATGGATTTTCGCCCTATCAGTTTGGTGGGTTGTTTTTATAAGTTGATTGCTAAAGTCTTGGCCACTAGGTTGAGAAAGGTTATGGATGACATCATTTTTGACTCTCAGAATGCTTTTGTGGGAGGTCGTCAGATTTTGGATTCCGTTCTTATTGCAAGTGAATGTGTGGACTCTCGTTTGAGTAATAGGGTTTCGGGTGTTTTATGTAAGCTGGATATTGAGAAGGCTTATGACCATGTGAGTTGGAGCTTTCTCCTCTACTTATTGGAGAGGATGGGGTTTGGTGGGCGTTAGAGGAGATGGATTCTTTTTTGCATTTCTAGTGCTCGTTTCTCTGTCCTTGTGAATGGAGCCCCGATGGGATTTTTCTCTTGTTCGAGGGGCTTGAGACAAGGTGATCCACTTTCTCACTTCTTGTTCCTTTTTGTGATAGAGGCTCTTAGCAGATTATTAAAGAGGGCTGTGGAGTTGGGTTTTTCGAGAGGTTTTCGGGTGGGTAGGGATGTTGCTAGTTAACTGGAGATCTCCCACTTGATGTTTGCGGATGATACTTTAGTGCTTTGTGATGCATATGCGTCCCAATTGAGATATTTGAGATGTGTCTTGATTTAGTTCCAAGTTGTCTCTGGTCTTAAGGTGACTATTGGTAAGAGTGTTCTTGTGCCTATGGGGGATGTTCTTGAGATCGAGATGTTTGCTCAGATTCTTGGATGTCGCTCTGGCTTTTTTCCCATTTCTTACTTAGGGTTGCCTTTGGGAGCCCCTTCGAGATGTGTTGGAAGCTGGGATCCGGTTGTGGATAGATTCGAAAGGAGGTTGGCAGGCTGGAAGAAGCAGTACCTCTCCAAGGGGGGTCGGGTCACTCTGATTAAGAGCACCCTTTCTAGCCTCCCCACTTATTTCATCTCTCTCTTTCAATTTCCTTCTTCAGTAGCTGAGAGAATTGAGAGATTGCAGTGCAACGTTTTTTTTTTTTTTTTTTTTTTTTTCTTCTTCTTTTGGGGGGGGGGGGGAGGAGAGGAGTTCAAGTATCATCTGGTTCGGTGGGATCATGTGTGCAGTCCGATTCGGAGTGGAGGCTTAGGGATTAGGAGGTTATTGCCATTTAATAAGGCCTTCCTTGTTAAATGGCTTTGGAGGTTTAGGATTGAAAGGCATCGGCTTTGGAGGAGAGTTATTACGAGCAAGTTTGGGGAGAGCGGTGGTGGGTGGTGCTCTCTTGCGGTGCGTAGTCCTAGGGGGGGTGGGAGTTTGGTCTTTCATTCGGAGGGGTGGGATGTTTTCTGCAAGCATGCATGTTTTCGGATCAAGGATGGCAGGAGGATCAGATTTTGGGAGGATCTTTGGTGTGGGGAGACTCCCGTTGCCCGCGTTTTTCCACGGCTTTATAGGATTGTTTCTCACAGACAGGCTATGGTGGGTGACTGTTATCACCTTGATAACGGGAGACTGACTTGGGATGTTCAGTTTAGGATGCACTTTCAGGACTGGGAGATTAAGGAGGTTACTCATTTTTTGGAGGTTCTGTATCGCCAGGTGATCACTGGTGGGGAATCGGATTGTTGGTTTTGGGTTCCTAACTCTCAGGGCCGTTTCGAAGTTAGGTCCTTTTTTAGGTGCCTTTCGGTCGGCACCGGAGGCCCTTTCCCCTGGAAGTCTATTCGGCATTCTAAGGCTTCCATTAAGGTAACCTTCTTTGCTTGGACTTCCGTCCTGGGTAAGATTTTAACCCAGGATAGTTTGAGGAGGAGGAATCAAGTGGTGACCAATCGATGTTATATGTGCTTGTGCGATGAGGAGACAGTTGATCACCTTCTTTTGCATTGCAGCTTAGCCAGAGACTGTTGGGATTTGATGCTTGGTTTATTTGGTGTCTATTGGGTTATGCCTTGTTCCTCCAGAGGGTTGATTGAGGCTTGAGAGGTGTCCTGTTGGGGCTCTCATGTAGGATGCATGGAGGGCTACGCCTCTTTGTATTTGGTGGTGCATTTGGCTCGAGAGAAATCGGAGATATTTTGAGGGAAAAGAGAAACCTATTTTTATGCTTAAGTTCTCTATTATTTCCACTTTTTTTTGTTGGGTTTCAGGGAGAGATTATAGATCTATTAAGGAGATTATTGTTTTTTTGGCCTCTTTGAAGGTTTAAGGCGCCTTTTGGCCCTTGTGTTTCTTAGGGTTCCGCTCTCCTTTTGAGCGTTTTCAATAAAATTTTACTTATCAAAAAAAAAAAAAAAAAAAAAAAAATTTGAGATTTCTTTGCCACTTCAAAACAAAAGAAAGGCTTCTCTAGTCCTTTACAACTCGTCGTTAAAGCTTCAAAATTGAGGATTTACTTAATATATCCAAACAACTGTTTATTTATTACATGAGATTGATGCTTTTTGTTGATATTTTTGGTGGTCTATTCTCTCTCCCGCCGCCAAAAATATACAACCACCATACTTATCAATATATATATATATATATACAACCACCACCAAGCCTTTTCCCAATTCCTTGGGGTGGGCCTCATGAATCCTTTGTTTCCATTCTGCTCTATTTAGGGCCTTAGCCTCAGTTAATCTACATGCTATCATATCTTTCCTTTCTAACTCTACCCACATTGATTTTGGTCTTCCTCTTCCCCTAATATTACTCTCAATGTTTCCAATCCAACAACGATTTACTCGGGAAATCTCAAATATAGAAAGCATTTTAGAAAATAATGTAAATAAAGGCAAGAGTGTTATAAACTGAAAAGATGAAATCTTAAACAGTGTCAATAGTGAGAGATGATTCTCACCTTGATTTGGAATTTATAAAAATCATTCTTATCTTATGGAGGCTCTTTTTAAAGGGTAGCATTATCAAGGACAGCAAAATCCTTCATTCTTTTATTCTGAAGTGCTAGTGACGCGGGTAATAGAGAAAGAAGGCAAGCTACCGGTCTCGTGGAAGACAAGTAGCAAGCTTTAGGACTATATCACTTTTTCTAACTGTGCACATGTCCATACCATCTTAACCAATTTTTTCTCATTTTATCTCCAATTGGTGCTATTCAACCATCTCCCGAACGTGATCATTTCTAATTCTATCCTTTCCAGTCTTACCGCACATCCATCTCAACATTCGCATTTCTGCCACACTCACTTTATGCAAATGTTGTTTCCTAGCTGCCCAACATTTATTATGCCACAATAAAATAATGAATAAATAAATCAAATAAAAAATAATTTAATAAAAAGGAAAATTACATAGCTCAGTAACCGTCTTCAGACATGCCATGCTGTCTGAATCTAAGTCCAAGTTGGATTTGGGAATAAATCAATTCATGCTAGCATATATATATTTTTTAGGTAAGTATCATGCTAGCATCTGATTTAATTTTTTTGGGTCTAAGTTGATTCAAACTGAAAAACAAAATAATGGCGTGACTGGTGTCAAGTTTTAGTTATCCTAAAAGATGTAAGTTAACAATTGCTTAATTCAAACTTTCCTGGACAGTTGTTTGCCCCATTGTTAGAGCCATTTATCTTGTTATCAGTTATGCAAAATCAATTTTGTTTTGCTCATGTCATCATGGAGATCTGACGTTTGAAAATTATGTTACTGTCTGAATGTATCAGCATAGAGTTTTCATGAAGTGATTTAAATGAGAGTTTCTCTTGGTCTGACTCATGGTAAAGTAGTTTACTTTGACAGTTTGAACGGTGCGGACATCGATATGCCTGAGTGGATGTTTGCTAAAATGATGCGAAGTGCACAAATCAGATTCTCTGATCATTCTATTTTGAGGGTTATCCAGATATTGGGTAGACTAGGAAACTGGAGGAGGGTGCTTCAGGTCATTGAGTGGATTCAAGTGCGGGAGCGCTTCAAATCTCACAAGACAAGGTAATTACTTCTCTTCTTTTTTTTTTTTCTTTTTTTAACCAAGAATAAGGATGTGCATTTTATATAATATGGACACGTTGTTTTAAAAATCTATTGTGTATTTTTTTCTGCAATTATTCCTTTATATATATATATATATATATATATTCTTTCTAATATATAATTAGAAATTCAGTGCTCATCTGTGTTTGCATAATTTTCTTGTGGACAAGTTTCATACTTTGACATCTTTTGGTACACAAAAATGTATATATGATATTTAACAAAGGTCAGTCATTAAGATAGGATTTCTTATATTGATCGTCATTATTGCCTGGTAATTTTGTAAGATTACAGATTAAATTGAACTGTGATTAGTGACATTTTCAGATGTAACTTCAGATGATAATGCTAATGTAAATTTATAAATGAATTTAAATTCATATATATATATATATATATATATATATATATATATATTATTATTATTATTATTAATTTTCATTTCCTTGAAACTTCAAAAATGCCAAGTCAACTAAATCTTGTTACAGTATTTTTAGAATGTCTGCACTAGTACTATTTCTTCATTTTGCACAATTAGATTTGGTCTCTATTGCACTCGATGCAGTTGTTACACTGATGCTGTTGTCATGGAACAATTATAGAACAAGGGTCAATTTATGTAACTTGATCTTTGACTTTGTTGGTTCCTTCTTCTGACCTTTTATACATTCCAGGTACATTTATACCGCAGCACTTGATGCACTTGGAAAGGCAAGGAGGCCAGTGGAGGCGCTTAATGTATTTAATGCAATGCAGGTAATGCTTGTACTAGACGCAGAGCATGCTCCCTTTTCCATAAGTGTGCATCTCAAGTTAAGGGATGTGAGTAATAAACATAAACCTTGGTTAACTCTTCTCCAATCTCTTCTTTTATTTCTTCTCCAGCAACACATGTCCTCTTATCCCGACCTTGTAGCTTATCACTGTATCTCTGTCACTCTCGGACAAGCAGGACATTTGAAGGAACTTTTTAATGTGATTGATAGCATGCGGTCTCCCCCCACAAAGAAGTTTAAAACTGGGGTTCTTGAGAAGTGGGACCCCCGCCTTGAACCAGATATTGTTGTCTACAATGCTGTAAGTAATACATGGTAGTAATTTGTATTTGGAAGATTATGGTTGAAACTTCAATAATGTCTTGCCATGAGAAGGGCCACCACTTTAAACTTGGCATGTTGTTACTTTTAGTTTGGAATTTATAATTTCATTTATAGATTCCTTATATTTTTTTTTTCGGTAACTTTTGGATTTCCTATATTGCCTTTACCTGAGTATGTTGTTTTGCAATCCAATATAGAACTTCTTATTCTGTCATTTGTTTTGTTTTGTTTTGTTTCTTCTTTTTTTTTTTAAAGAATAAGAATAACCCTTGTCACAATGGTAGGCAAGAGAAATAGACCGGGTCATAAGTGTTATTTCAATGTCTAGTCCCTGTAAATTGAGGGCACTGGGAAGGGCAGGTTGGGTACATTCCTAATTTGTGACATTGTTTGCACAAAATTGTTGCTCTCAGGATTTGATTTGGGCCTGCACTTTCACGCTAGAAAGTGTAAGCATTTTACCATTGCATCAGATGGTGGGAAAATATGCTGGCTAGCGGCTACTATGGTCTAAAGTTTATAATTTATCACATGTAGGATTTATCATATGAAAATTAAATATACCTTCCCCTGCATCCTGGCCTTGTTTAATTGATGGAGCACAATCCTTGAGATTTAAAAATATACCTGATTCAATTTAATCTTCTGCAAATAAGCATGGGAGTAACATAAGAGTTCTGGGTCAATATTATAGAGATAGGAGAAAGAATGGAATATGAGTGTGCTGAAACTAAAAAACAATCACATCTAAACAAAAACACTTGGTTTTAAAAATTCTTTAATAATTGCTTGAAATTGAAATAATAATCATATATATAGCCAACTGAGGTTCATTAAAGCCAAGCACTGAAACAGCCAAGGGTCTTGAAGATGGTACTATTAGGTGCAAATCGAGTAGGTAAAAGAACTAAGAATGTTTCAAGAGTCGAGATTAAGTGAAGTAATCTTGTTGATCTATCAAGCTAAAATTCAATAATACCCCCCATAATTATCAAATTACAGAAGGTATCCTTATGCGGCTATGCTTACTTGATTAATGTAGGCTAATGAGCTCACAAGTGGGACCTGCTTCAGTTTCATGCCATACTAGAGTTAGTTAATCCTCTGAACTTTTAGGGGTCATGTGGTTTAGACGGATTAAATTGCAACATTCTACAATTGAAAATACTGAAAAAGTGCTTGGATTTGCAAAGAGAATCATTTAAAAGAGTTATCTTTCTGTCCTTAAAGTAGCATTTGAACCTTTCTTGCTCTTTTGCACACATTATTAACTCAAACTTTCAATAATTTTTGTTATCATGTTTTCAAATATCATTTTCGGAAAGAAAAAGAACTGTGCTTTACAAGCCTAGTCAGCCTGTATTGATTCTCTGACAAGGTCATGGTGGGGCCCACCATTTGTTGTGGACCAACCAGGGCCTTGTTAGAGAGTCAGCACAAGCCCACTCACTTGCAGATCATTTTTCAAAGAAAGATGATTGATTACATAGGGAAGTGACTACACTAAAAAGGAACATGTTTTGCAGGGGGAGTTGTGAGGCCTCTGTCCCATTTTAGTTTTGCAGTGACTGCACTAAAAAAGAAAAAATGAATTCGTGAACTGAAATGCTATATAAATAAGTTGTAATGAATTTGATTCCATGGGGCTCAAAATGTCCTAAAAATTGATAATTTTTTGTAGTAATGATATTTTCTTTTTTTGGTGAAGGCAGTCATTTTTGTTGAAATGTTTGGTAACTGTTGAGAGTGTGTAGGTCCTAAATGCTTGTGTGCGGCGCAAACAATGGGAAGGCGCATTTTGGGTATTGCAGCAGCTAAAGCAACAGGGCCAACAGCCTTCTAGCACAACATACGGACTTGTTATGGAGGTAATAGCTGCCGCTAGCTGTTCTCCCGCTGCTCTTTCTCTTTTTGGGGATGAACTTTTTCAATTGTTTATTGGATGAGAGATGTTGGGGCTTAGAAAGTTGTGGCTTTGTTTCTTTTACATCCTAGTTAATGTTCCTTTATACCCTACAATTCTTTGCCCTTTCACTCAGCAAAGATTATTTGGAAGGCCAATGTTAAAAGGTGAAAGGTTTGTCTTGGTTGGTTATGAATGAGAGGGTTAATACTTATACTAAGGATATGCTTCAGATTAGGCAGCCTTGTATTGCCCTTAGACCACATGTGCGTTCTTTGTAAAAGGAACGGTGAGCTAATTATTTCTTTACTTAGAGCTCCGTCTCATACTCCTTGCAATAGTTATATTATTTGGTTGGTCTTTGACTTGTTCCTCCTTGGGATATGATATTGTTTCTACATGTCTTCTGTGATAGGTTTGGCATGGGTGACAGAGCTAAGATCCTTTTACAGCAAGATTTCTAGGCCACAGTTAAAAGAAATTTTAGAATCTTAGAGGATAAGGATTCTGATAAAGAGACGTGAGGGTAGAATTACTTCGTTGACATCTTGTCGGGCCTCAGTACCTAAAGCTTTTTTGGGGAGTGCCTTTGAGTTTAATGTAAATTGATCCAAAGGAAGTCAGTTCCCGCAGAAACCTATTAAAGTTGCCCAAGTGTCCTGGAAAACTCCTCAGTTTGGAAAATCATGTTCCCCTAGTAATCTAGTTGGAAGGATCAAGTTCAATTTCGATGGTTATGCTTTTGGTAATCTAGGTCCGTTTGAATTTGGATGAATTTTCTGTTATCATGTTGGATATTATTGTTTCTGTTAACACTCATCTACCCCAAAAGTTTAAGCTCTTAGAGAGGGTGCAACTTCAATATTTATATCCTTCAACACACCCCCTCACGTGAGGCCTTCTTTTTGGTCCAACACGTGTTTTTCAATTTTTTAATTTGGGTAACGGTGAGGTTTGAACTCAAGACCTTTGGCTCTAAAACCGTGTTAACACCCATCTACGCCAAAAGCTTAAGCTATTAGAGAGGGTGTAACTTTAATATTTATATCCTTCAACAGTTTCTTTACGAAAAAGGCTTGTCATACTCATGCTATTAAGGATGATATACTTCCCCTCTGGCCTTGGGGAGGCCTTGGGGCTACAACATTGCATAGTTGAGGGAGATTTTGATGTGGTTTTTTTTTTTTTTTTTGTTGGGTTGCTTTAGGCCTTTGGCCTTGAGTGTTATGGACATTGGTTGAGAGGGTTTATGAATTTGCCTTCTGCTTTACGGATTGACACCAAATGGCCTCGATGAGGCTGATAGTTTTGTCAGCTGCTTTTTGAATATGCCTTGCAATGAGTTGGGGAATTTTGTTTGCACTTAGTATGTTAGGTCCTTATAAAAGAATTAGTATGTTGGTGAATTTTCTTTTGCAGGAATATTTTTTTAGTTTCTAACTATCTGATAAAATAATTAGTAAAAAATGAGATCCTTCTTCTTGCCTGCCTTATCTAATTTTCTTATCATGAAGCCTCATAGCATAATTTATAGCGGCAATGGGGTTTATTACTATCACTACATGTTGCCACTCTGGCTTGAAATTTTATATGCACTTAATTTGTGAGTAACGATTTTGGGATTAATGAAATGTTAATAAAGTACTTTGCTTTTTAGCAGGTAATGTTTGCATGTGGCAAGTACAACTTGGTTCATGATTTTTTCAAGAAAATTCAGAAATCTTCTATTCCCAGTGCTTTAACTTATAAAGGTAGTTCAGTTAAGTATCTTAGCTCATATTTTTGTGTTGCTGAATTTTCTCATGTGAAATTGACGTCATATAATTTGTCATATATAGTTATTGTGAATACTCTTTGGAGGGAAGGTAGAACAGATGAAGCTATATTAGCCGTCCAAGACATGGAAAGACGAGGGATAGTTGGTTCAGCCGGTGTTTATTATGACGTTGCTCGTTGTCTCTGCAGTGCAGGCAGGTGCCAGGAAGCGCTAGTGCAAGTAGGTTTCCTTCTGATGCTTAAAGAACTTTTTTCTGCTGTTTTGTGCGTGTTCTATTTTTTTCCATGGTAAATTTTCATTGAATGGTATTGCGATATTGCATTAGTTGATAATGTTAGTGACTTAATTGTCAGAGCTCAATTTATTTTGTCACTTCAAAGGATGACAACCAAAAAGCATGGACACTTCTAAGAAGTAGTCATATCCGTGTCCAACACATGTTGGACACTGAACAAACATGCGACCAACACATCTTGGATGTGTCCATTACATATTAATTTTGGAACCATACCGACACTTCTTGAACTTGTGATCAATGAACCTTGAATTTTATTAAAACTTTTTGTTAATATGGAAAATGAAGTATAATTGTAAGAAAAATTAAAGGGCTATATATAATTCTATTGTTGTATCTAACTATATATGCATGAAGATGGGCCCAAAACCCATACATCAAGCAATTTTGTGATTCGTTATTCATGAGGACCTTGTGCCAATATATACAAGGGGCCTTCTCCTTCATCAATTCACAGTATGGTATTCCCCACATACATTCTAATAATTGACTGCAAAATTTTTATTCCTAAAGTAATACTCCCAGAGTTTGGTGCACTATGCAACAAGTATTTATGAATATAAATCTACAACTGTGGTTCTGATGGGATATGTGCCTGATTGGTTATTTGGGAGGGATTCACCCATGGGAAAACTACTATGTTATTTTGATAGGCCCATATATACATGACATGTTCCCTTAAATAATTCGAAACTACTGTTTTGGGTACCCTAGTGTCACCCATACAATAAATCTGTTCATACTTACTAATTTGTAAAGATGTAGATGTAGTGTTTTGTAGGCGGTTACAGTCAATCATTTCCACCTAGCTACTTCAATTTTTTGATATTTGCTCTCATGGCTAAAAAATTGTGGGACCCGTGTTGCCTTTTCACAGATTGACAAGATATGTAAGGTTGCAAAGAAACCTCTAGTAGTGACTTATACTGGTTTAATTCAAGCTTGTTTGGATGGAGGAGATGTTCAAAATGGGACATACATCTTCAATCACATGCAAAAGTTTTGCTCCCCAAATTTGGTTACTTGTAATATAATGCTGAAAGCATACCTGAAACACGGGATGTTTGAAGAAGCAAAGGAGTTATTCCGGAAGATGGTGAAAGAAGGCAACCATATTGGCATTATCTCAGATTACAAGAATAGAATTATACCAGATATCTACACTTTTAACACCATGTTAGAAGCCTGTCTCACCGAGCAGAGGTGGGATGATCTTTCTTATGTCTACAAGCAGATGCTCCACTTTGGGTACCACTTCAATGCAAAACGTCATCTTCGGATGATATTGGATGCTTGCAGGGCTGGAAAGGTATTTCTTCTTGTTCATTCGTTCCTTCGATAAGAGTGTTGGCATGTTTTGAACAAATGTTTAATTTCTTTCTTCATAGCATTAGAAATTTAGAAGGCATGAACCTCTCCCTGGAATGGATTCACTTCAGCAAATTTAGCATTCGCTACCAATCACTTAAAAAAATGATACTTCATGCATGCCTTTTATAAGAATGTCCTTGCTTTCTCAAATTGCTAGGAGAATTAGGGATGCCAATTTAACCCACCCCGTTCCGCCCCTATTGGAATGGGTTCGAGATCATTCTTAATTGGGTAGGGGTGGGTTTGGAAAGAGAGTTTAAAACCTGCCAAGTCCCGAACCCACCCCAATTAATAATAAATATATAACCTTGATTAATAATAAATATAAATAAGTATTCTTTTATTAGCTGTAATTTTTCTTTTTCCTTTATTTATTATGATAATTTTAAATTTTAACAATATTTTTGTTATTATGATTGTTAAATATTTAACTATACTAATTTTTTTTATATCAAATTTATCTTAATTAGTTTGAATTTTAATTGTTTTTCTTAAAAAAAATATGTATATTGGGACGCCCCGAACCGCCCCAACTCCGATGCAGGTCTGGTTTGGGAAATGATTTTATTCATGGGACGGGTTTCGGAAATGGGTGCCCTGTCTCGAACCTACCATGTTGACATGTATAGGAGGAATATGTAAACCTGCTTACTTCTTCTTTTCAAGGTCAATTGTTAACCACCATCTATTATAAAAGCTTAAGTTGTTAGAGAGGGTGTAACTCAAATATATATTTTTTTTAGTTGGTACTTACACACCCCCTTTCCAAGGAATTGTTTGTGTCTAGCAGGAATCGATCTTAAGCACCAGGGTCCAAGTCTTTTCCAACTAGGCTAACCTTTGGGGTGTAACTTAAATATTTAAATCTTTCAACACACCCCATCACGTGTGGCCTTTTTTTGGTCCAACACGTGTTTTTCTATTTTTTAATTAGGGTGACGGTGAGGTTTGAACTCGATACTTGGCTCTGATAACATTTTAACCATCATCTACTCTAAAAGTTTAAACTGTTAGAGAGGGTGTAACTTAAATATTTAAATCATTTAACATTTACAAAAATGAACTTGCACTTGTCTTAGTTTAATACTTTTGGATTTGATTGGTTACTCTAGATATCAATTAATTGCAAAACTCATGGAATATCAACTTGTTCAATAAATTATTCTAAATTGGCAAAAAATTAATAGTCTAGTTTTATGCCGTCAATAATGGGTCAGCTTGACTGAGGCAGTCAGAACTTAGTGAAATTTACTAGTATATTACTTTCTTAGGGTTGAATCTTAGCGATCAAGATTTGTGGAACCTTTGTGCATTAATTTTTTATTTTTTTTCCAACTCAGATTTCCAGCTTACTAGTGAAAAAACAAAAATGCAGAAATGCACAAGGATGGTTTCCTTGTTTATCCATTAGTTTGTGGTTGATCTGGCCCAATAATATGTAAATTTTTAATTCCAAAATAAAAAATTTACAAATTATAATCTAAATTTTTATAGGCTTATAATTTTTTTCATAATTTCTTTGTTGTTTAGTTGTCTATAGACAGGATATCTATATGATTTGCTTTGATCACATGACTATGCTTTCTTATAATTATTATAATTATTTTTTAAAAAAAACATTACTCTCTTAATGGTTGTTCGTTAACTGGATAGCACACATGCTTTCAGGAAGAGCTGTTAGAGACAACTTGGAAGCACTTGGCCCAGGCAGATCGGATTCCACCACCCCTTCTTGTCAAGGAAATGTTTCGCATGAAATTGGAGCATGATGACTGTGCCACTGCTCTGTCCTGTATTAGCAGTAACCATTTGAGTGAGTTGTCGTCATTCTCCCAAAAGGTATGGGCGAACTTTTTTGAGGAAAATGCCCATCGCTTCCATAAGGATACTCTTGTTAGGTTGATTCACGAGAGTAGCAACCTTGTTTCGAGAAGTGACTCACAAAACCTAATATTTCAGAATCTAATAACAACTTGTAGAGAATTTTTAAGGGCCCATATAACCCTAGCTGGGACTGCCCAAACAGAAACTGTTGGTAGATTGAATGTGAAACAGCTTTAAAATTTTAGTGAAATTCATTATGTTGTAATAGTTTTGTTGGAGGTGTAAGTCAATATTAAGAACAGGTCAATTGTTTTCAGTATTTGTATTATCTCGTGTGCCATTAGCTAGCGCAGGGATGCAACATATTCTTGTGTTGATCCCTTCCCCAGTGCATTGGCAAGTACTGGAGTGAATCTAAATCCTTAACTAGCTATCTATCTTGAGAAACCATGAACTCATATCAGGATGCTGTTGAAGGATTTAAATATAACAGAGTAGATGGTCATGTATTCAAACCTCACGGTCACCGTGAAGGTCCAAAATGGTAAAAAATTTGGAACTTGTAGGCAAGGACGGACTTAACAAGAAGTCGGGGGGACAATTGGCCCCCTGTAATATTTTTTTTAGTATTAAATTTTTATAATAAATTAAATTATTTAGCTGTAAATTTAATACTTGCCCTCTGTAGTTAAAACAAAAAAGTATTGTTGCCATCTCCCTCTTTTCACACGTCTTTTGACTTGACTTTTTTAGGAACTTGGCAAAATTAGATCTGTAAACACACACATATGTTAAAAACAAAGCCAAAAAAGGTGAAGCCGCAAATAGCAAATACCTTTTGACTTTTTGATAACTAGCAAAATTACATCCGCAAACTATTCCACTAAGAGAAAATCAGAAACTGAATTATATATCCAAGAAACTGGAAGTGGGGTTGAGAAAATTGAAGCTCTATTGAAAAGGAGCATTGGGAGCAGGCTGAGCAGACTTAACTCACAGTAATGCCAGTCACGCCACGGTATACAGACTCAAAATTCCGAACTCTATTTTTAATTGAATTTTTTGTTTATCCTTGAATGATTGATTTTTGTTTTTTTTTTTTGGATTGATTTTTCTCCCCTAATATTATTAAATATGGACAGTGCACAGGCGCACAAACTGCACAATTATGTTGTTGTTGTGATTGTTTATCAATGAACGTTTAATTTGTTTTTGCTTATTAGAATGGTTTCAATTTTTTTTATCTTATTCCCCCCAAAATGAATTTCTGAGTCCGTCCCTGCAGTTGTAAGGGTGGTTTGTGGTAAGGAGTTAGTCTGCAATATATTGTAAATTTGGAGGTTCTGGAAGGTACAAATTTATTTAGTAACTCTACTTAATTTCATCTTATTGCATGGACCATATAACTTGGAAGCACACTTATTAAATTAGAGTTGCACCTATATTTATATAATTTTACAGTGTTTGAACATTTGGTCCGTGAACTTGAATTCAATGGTTTTTTTCGAACGGTTTAATTTGAATTTATTGATGAAGGGGTCTCGCTTTATGAAATAAGATAAACTTGAGACTTTAATCTCCGACATATTATTCTTTCAATTCATAAAATTCATGGAATCCAACAATCTTGCCGAGAGTTGCCGGATTATAAAATTAGACATTTCATTGGACACAGAATAATCAAGAACTATGAAACAAATGACTGATTGAAGTGTTCTGGAGCCTGCTGTATAAGAGGGTTCTCGCAATGAGCTTATACTTTTAACTATTTTATTTGTTCACGTGAATCAAATGGAGATGGTCCTTTGTCCATTTTAGAATATTTAGTGTTTAGAGATTTTTAATATATTTCACTATTATTTTTGTTTAGCGTGCCAGATAAAATCACTGGTACTTCTCGATTTGGCCATTAAAAAAGTTGGTTGTATTTAATAATCAATTTTATCTTTTCCCATTTGTTTATAGGTAAACTACACCAACTTGCTTAAGATTTGAACAAATTATAAGTATGCAGACATTTCAACGTTTATTACTTTAATCTTTTTTGAAATTTAGTGCACATTCAATGACATCTTTAGGGTTTTCTTTCTAATAAACTTGTTGACCAAATTTTAAAAAATGACAAAATTTCTCTTCCATTGTATGGAAAGACAATAACAGTTTTATGTATTGCAATATAATATATTATTATAATATAAGAGTTTACTAACTTTTTATACTTAAAAGAGTGAGTCAAAATAGTAAATGGTCTATTTATGTGTAATTTGTCCAATCCTAAAGGATGTCAGTATAATTTACCCCTCTTTTATAAAAATCAAATGGGACGATTTTTCGAAACTTCTTAAGAAAATGTGTGATCTATAAAAATTTGAAAGAAAGAATGGTACATACATCCTAAGTCTGAACTAGAATGATTCACAAATTAAAAATGTTATTAATGCAATTCAAAAGAAAGTTGAATACATTCAATTAAAATGGTGAAATTTGAACTAGAATAAATTTTTTTTACAAGCCAAGAAATATTAGGAATTAGATTAGTAATTGAAAAGAGTCGAAACTTGACACTCTAAAGTTTACCGAAAATATTAACTCATTGGATTATCGAGGCATCTATAACTAAAACAATTCAAAACTCAAAATGTAAGTGGTGAAATTTGAATGAATGTTTGTTATAAATCCAATTAATAATAGTGAAAACCTAAACTTAGAAAGGTGATACTTATCCAAAATAAATAAATAAATAACTTTGAAAAGAGTGAGGAAAATATTATGCATCATTTTTTTTTTTTTTTTTTTGAATAAAGATTGATAATTTTTTTTTTTTTCGTTATTTATTTTGCCATTTTTATTGGGGATATTAACTCTCTTCAACTATCGGCTGTTGTTGATACTTAAATCTCTCATTCATCGCATAAAACGGAAGTAACATCATCACACAACATATATGAAGATAACAATAATACACATTCACGCATAACACAATATTTTACATGGCTCATCCAACTATAGGGCTACGTCCATGGAGAGAGAGATTTCCACTATTATGAATTAATAAAGAATAGAGGATATAACCAGATGTCAAAATCCAAGTCACTCTCACTCATTAGACTCTTGATGCTACATCTTTATACTTAGGAATTATATGTACTCTTCCCCTTCCTTACAACACTAACCCCTTTGACCCCTTACATCTTTTCTCTCTTCCTTCTCTCTTTTAATCCATCTCTATTTATTGAGTCTTCAAACCTAATTATTTGTTAAACGTATTACCCAATTTGCATGTAAAGAGTTACCACATCAGTCTTTAACCTAAAATAATAGTCTTCTGATTTTCCTATCATTTGGTTCAAGAAAAGCGTAAACTTGTTCAACTGGGTTACAATCACATCCAATTGATTCTGATAAAAGTTGAATTGATTTCAAATAACTTGAACATGTTAACTAATGCTAGAAGACTACTTCCAAACTAAATTAGAGCCACAAAAACCAGTAGTGTTAAAATGTGAACTGATGTGGCGCATTGTGAACATGCAGGTTTCTATAACTCAATAGGATTTTTTTTAAGTATTATATAATACTTATTTATTTTTTGAAAATATATACTTATTAAATTTTAGGGTAAATTACAGGCATTTTTTGAATGTTTAAACAAATTACATACATGTAAAGTGTTTGATCTTCTCTAAGATTGGGGAGGGAGGGTAATAGAGTCTTTAATTTAATTTAATAAAATTTTTAAAAATTATTATTAAATTAGATAAAGGTATGAAAGACATTTCACACATTTAGTGAAGGTCAAAGTAATAAAAGTTAAATGTTCAATCTGTGTGTAATTTACTCAAACTTTATGGGAGGTCAGTATAATTTATCCTAAATTTAAGGGTTTTTTTAAAAAAAAAAAGTTAAAACAATTATCAACACACCCTACTTCCATTGAGGTTTAAATTCCCAACCTTCCTTTTGAGAAAAAAAGGAATGATACCGTTAGACTATTTGATTCTTTGATTAAAAATAAGTATTGTCTCCCACTAAAAAAAATACCGTTAGGCTATTTGATTTTTTTTTGGTAAAATATATAACAATTACGAGGTTTATCTTTTTAAATCTGTTCACATGTGAATGCCAAAGATTCGCTGTCATTATTTGAGTTGATGAAAAACAAAAAAAAAAAAATAATGTCATGTTAGGTGTGAATGATAATATTAATAAATCAGATTTTCTCGTGCGGAGATCAGTGATATCTTGTTGGACTCTGTACCATTCATCAAAATAACAGATATTGATAGCACCAAATTGGGGAGAAGATTCTCTTTTTTGAAGAAGCCTTCCTGGTTATCTGAATTATCAACCAGTATTGGGAAAAGTGTGTTATTTAAGTGAGTTTATCATTCCACATTTAATTATTTGGATATCATGTCATCAAAGATATTCAGAACATTAAAATATGGGACTTTTACAATAAAGTGGTCTTAGTAAAGGTATATTACCCATAGTCAAACGTAGTTTACATATTTACAAATACATGAATCAAGTTCTATTTTTAGCCCTTTATTAAGCTGAATTTATATTTTCACCCCTAGGAATTTAATTTATGCATAATTTATCCAAAGAACAACTTATTCAAGTATTAGAATTTTGTCAAACAGAACTTAGAAATTTCTACATAGCGCTAGAATTAGGAGACACAACACGTAGTCTACAAAGAAGAATTGAAGAACTTAGATCTAGAATTATATTAATACAAAACATTTTAGAAACTAGACGGCAACGATTTTAGTTTATGAATAGACTTGACTTTAATAATTTATATACTTCCATAAAACGATTAGAAGAAAATTTAGATTATATTAAAGATCAAGTAGTACAGAATTCTAGTCTAAATAATTTAGATAACAAGAAAATATTAGTAACAATTAAAGATATCAATAGTGATATTAAGAATATTGCTGAAAACCAGAAAATAATCCTAGACTCTTTAAAATCCCTTAAAACCGATATCCAAAAATTATTACAATAGTTTTATGAGCACTAGTAATTTTGAATATTTAACCGCGTTAGCTGAACTTTACAAAATTGATAAAGAACCTATAGGATTTACTAGCTTTAAAATAGACGTACAGTCAACTAATATATATATTAGACAAAATAACTTTTTAATTCAATTATTACTTCAGTTATCTGATAAAGTTAATAAACTTGAAGAGAAATTAGAAGTAATACAAAAAAGTATTCCCAGAGAATCTTCAAAAGAATTATCTGAATTATCAAATAAAATAAAAGAATTAAAATTGTCAGTCAATAACCAGTCCTCTCCTACAACAGCCAAGC